AACGACGATTAAATTTTTAATCACTGTTTAGTCAAACGGTGCAACCGGGCATAACGGTCAGAAATGAACATTTTCCACAGCCCTGTTCAAATATTAAATTTGCTATCATTATTGACCTTTTTATTAAGTAAAAGACGCTTTGTTGCTTTGGCCGGCGAAAAAACCCGATTCGCTGTTATCGTTTATTTAGAGACCGCAAATATTGAACCTAAAATTGATTAAAATTTGCAAATACGAGACTTCAAATGTTTGCGAAAAACTCTTCAAAAGTTATAATAGTTGGAATTTTATTGCAATTTTATTTAAAAAATTTTTTAAAAACGCAACCTCCCACCCTTGATATTTTTCTCGAAAAATCTGCTACATTTTGTCTTCTAGCTTTTAAGAGGTTTCGAATTCTTAATAAAAATGTATTATAAAACACAGTTCGTGAGACGCTCTATGAAAGAGCTTATGATGATTATTCAGATATTTTTGGCTATTTCTACCATATAAGCCCTTCAACAAGATTCGATTACGACGGTCCTTTATCCATTTGCATTTTGCCCTACAAGTTATTAAAGGTTATAAATTTTGGGACCAAAAAGCGGATTGAGACGCACTATCGAAAACATTCTAATAATGATCCACGCACTTTCAGCGGTTTTTTAGATAAAAGCTCTAGAACGTCGTCTTTTGGCTTTCTAGAGGTTAGAAAGTCCGGAAGAAGCCAAATTAGCGAACAGCTTCTAATAACTGTTGTGATATTTTTATACTTTTCTAATTCATAAGCTCTTAAACTGCGGCGTCTTCTTGCATTTTTGCTTTTTCCTTCTAACCTTTCAGATGTTCGGGTTTTTTGGGCAACTCTTAACTTGAATTTGTGGAAGTCCCAAAGATCTATTCAGATATTGTCAACCATTTCCGAGATACGCGCTTTTAAACTTCTAGTAGTTCTAAAGTTCTAATACTTTCCTCCTAAGCAATTTTTTTCTCTAAGTTTTGACTCTTTTTTCTCTAAGTTAAAAATTTTTGATATTTTTTTTTAAATAACAGCTCTCGAGATGCCCTGTCGAAAAGGTTTTAATAATAATTTACGTATTTTCAGCGCTTTTTTAGATATGAGCTTTCGAACTTTCCCTTATAATTTCTTAGAAGTTAGGAACTTCGAATAAAGCTCAATTAGAAGAAGATGATTCTCACCGCGCCCTATTTTTAGCTTTTGACTATCGTTTACCGATTGTGTTTTAATGTTTTTTTTAATGTTTAAATGTTTTACCGAATATTTTATGATTATTTAGACATTTTAGACCGTTTGTAACTTTTCAGGTGTTATAAATTTTGAAATAAAGTCAAAATTAAAAATACAGCCTTCGAAACCTTCTATTGAAAACGCTTTAAGAATTGTGCGGATTTTTTCGGTCGTTTTCGAGTCATAAGCTTTTAAACATCGGCCACTTCTCAACATTCGGCATTTTTCCTACCATCCCTTTGGAGGTTAGCAATTGCCAATCACCCTTAACGATTGTGGCCTTCGATATTCTTTTCCGAAAGGTTTTGGAAGGTTAATTAGATAGTTTCATCAGCTTACGAGGAATAAACAGAAATGTTCAAGAATTCGTGGAAATTCGGATCTATTTCTTCTTATTAGATATTTTCAACCGTTTCTCAGAAATAAGATGCTTTAAATACTGATATCTTCTTATTTTTGCTGATCTCTTTAGAGGTAGGCAAATAAAACTTTCAAAACGCGCTATCGAAAAGGACATAACGACTGATGGGATATTTTCAACCCTTTTTGATTTAATAGGTGTTTTATGATTGAAATTTTCAACCGTGTCGAGGTGTTGTCTTTTTGCAACTTCAAACGGCTGGAAAGGGGCGAAGCCCCATTTGGATTTTGGAACTTTTTATTGCAAAATGCTGTTCAATAAAAACTCGTTCAAATGGTTCTTAGAATGAAAGCGATGTTTCCAGGTGTTTTCAGTCTAAATCAAAATTTTCTCGGTAGATTTAGATATTTTTGGAAATCTCGTGGTGGGCAAAGCCCTAGCTCGATTTTGACGTCTGTTTGATCATTTCTATTTCGGGCCAAATCCCACTTATTCTCGCTTGATATCTCGAAAACTGCGCTCATACTTTCATCTCACATGCCCAACACCCACAGACCGAAAAAAAAGTTTTGCCTCTAAGCCGTCTGGATCTAGCGACGGAAAGTATTTTGACTTTTCTGCAAATTTCCAACTAGATTGAACCATTCCAAACGTTCTTAAGAAGAATTTTTCTGCATAACTGAGTTACTAATGAACTAAAGCTTTTGGTCGATGAAACTCGGGTCCAAAGTGCAGACCCAATAAATATGAATAACAGATCAACTTAAATTGTTTCGCTACATTATGCAACGGTTTTGATTGTTATAAATCAACAGTTTAATGACGGTGAGAGCACACGAGACAGACGAATGGAAACGTGATCAAGTATCAAGTAGTCACGATTTTGCGAATCATTCATTTCCACTTGGCAATTACGAAATTAATTGCCCGATGTGTATTATTAAGCAGATTTGCTAAAAAGGTTCAAAGGTGCTCGCTAAATTACTACTAATAATATCCACTCCAGGTAATAAACGTGATGGTATTTTAAAACTTGATGCGTCATTAACCTGTCTTTAGAACTCGAGTTAATAATTCGACGGTAGTTATGAAACAGGCGAAATTGATTGGTTGAAGTTTTTGCAAATAATCTGACCAAACACCTGAAATGCATTTTGAAAATGCGCAAATAAGTGTGAACAAACACATTCTTGGTCTTATCGCTTTTGGCGCTCTTGTGAGTGTCTTAATACGTTTATCATGTTTTGGGATTTGGAAAACACTCCAAATATAAAACAGCCAACATTACGACAATCGAGTTACATTTAAGAATGCCATTAATCATCATTACAATTTAACAATCAAACTTTTCGTATTTTTCAATGATTTCATATAGAATAATCACAATAATAATGAAAGCTGATAGTGAGATAGTGTGGTCTTTAAGATGACTTGTTAGTTCATAGAAAGGAAGATTGGCTACGACTCGCACACACCCTTTTTTAAACAATGATCTTGATGACTTATCATTTCAAACTACTTCCAAGTTTTTCATTTTGAAAAAGAGACTGCTTTTAAGTTCCATTTGCAAACATCCAGACTGTGTTCAATTAATCAAGCGACAAAAACTCCTTTCCTGGAGCCACAAATCGATCAAAACCTCCAAACGAGTAATGCGGTTATTCGCGGAAAACTCGTAAGCTTGAGTGATTTCTTTCGCCATTTCTCCAGAATAACGTTTTGACTTGCATTTCTTCAAACTTTCTAAATATCATTTTCATGCGACCCCATTTCATCAATCAGCCCTCTAAACTGAACATGCAAGTTAATGGTGTGGAAACAAATTCTTATTTAACTCTATAAGACCCGACCGGCAGACTTTTTCCAATAAAGCGCTCTTTTAAAGTGTTTTATTTTTCTTGCCAAAGTTTTCGTTCTAAACCCCCACACATTTGCAATCAGCACCGTTTACTTCCGAATTTGCATAGTTGATGTTTTCTTTGAAGTTATTTATTTCTTTCATTTATTCCTGCTTCTCATTTTAACAACTAGTCTCTTGTTGAGTCATTATCAAACTTTTTGGCTGTTTCTAGCTAGGGTTTTGTTCTTCATCTTCAAGAGTTTGCTATCGCAAATTATTTTCTCCACCACAAAACATTCAGGGGCTGAGAACATTTAAACAGAGTGTTTAAAGTAAACGTTTAATCTACGTCGATTTTTGGTCCCACTTTCACATGGTTGTAAATATGACGTCTAATATACGCGAATTGAAGCGATCTTATTATGCAATGATGGGCGTATTGCATATAATTATTTAAAAATCTGGTGTTTATTTTTCGCAAAATTGCTCAGATTTTTGTTTTATCATTCCTATTTTCTCAACCAATTTCTATTTACACAGGGTGATCCGAAAAAGTCACGCTTTCAAGCCAAACTTTTTTATGCAGAAATATCTCCTTTTTGTAATTTTGTTCAGTTCTTTTTTAATCTCAGTTTTAATTAGTTTATAAATTTGGGGATATATATTATCAATTTCGCAACTTTCAGACGCCAGTTGGCGGAAAGCCGTTAGAGATGTGAATATGGTATGCTGCATAAAAATGTTTAAAATTTTGTAGGAAACTTAATATAATTACAACAAAGTGGGGCTTCTATTTATCATCACTATTTTTCGGAAAATAAACACCTGATTTTTAATAGTAGTTTTTGATACAAGGGCAAACAGTGTCGTTTTTCGAGCTCCTGACGGATAGACACTCAATTACTCTTGATTTATTAGTGAAAGCTGGGTTTAATGCTATTAATGATTAGCTCAGAAAAAAAATATTCGCTTTTATTTTGATGCCACAGAATCGAAGATCGGACTAGGGCTTCGTCCTCTTCCTGGCGTTTGAAGGTTTACAAAGGTTATATCTCCAAAATGGTTGAAAATTTCGCAAAAATACTAATGAGCTTTTCGATGGCCCAACTCAAAGTCCATCTTTCACCACTACAAAGTGGT